AATCGACTTTACTTATTTGTGTGTAAACAAAACTGATCTATGAATTTTAATTCCATACCACTGTTTACTATTTGAAGTTTCATCCTATTTTTTCCATCAACAAGCGAACTGAAGCCAATGAATTTGTGTTAGAGTGCTAAACTACATTTTCAGTGATGCTTCATATATATTCGACTGTATCCCTCATACTACTTACTACTGTCCATCCCGGATATGCACATGCATGCTTTTTCTCATCTGAAAAACTTCTCCTTTAACATTTGTATTTGCTTTGGTAATTAATTAACATAATTTGAAAATTAATTGCAAAATTATCAGCAGCACAAAATAAATTTATCACATTACATTTCAATAGACGAAAAGAAAAATTAACTTAATGGACGAAAAACTGTTTACTCGTTTTGCATATATCTAAATAAAATAAAAAAAAGAAAAAGAAAAAACAAAGAAGTTGGTCTTAGTACTACCTTTATTGGAATGTTTTCGCATGACAATCACAAAATCTATGTCGGTTTTCGTTTCTTTATTACCTAAATCTTCAACTTTACCAATCGAATGTAACCAGGGAAAATTAATTTTGAGTATTGAATTATTTTTTAATTCGATTTCCAATATGTTCGTTAATGTAAAATTTTTCTTAGTAACCTTCAGATGATATCAACCATTAACATTAGAAGTGATGATGCATTGAGGGATGATAGTGTATGATCGAAATGAAATTTGTTCATGCTAATAACAATTAGCTCTTTTAAGGAATACTTATCCTGGCCTTATTAGCTTTTTTGAGGTATGCTTAGCCTGGTCTTATTAGTATCTTCATCTCTTTTTTCATATTATTAGCAAAGTTGTTTACGAATCTTTTTATAGAACGATAGCGGAAATTATTTAAAGTATATAATATGGCAAGAATGATTGCTTTTGATTATATTAATAATATATTTCAATTTTTTCTTTTATACTTTTAAATTGATATTTAATAATTTTATATTTGAAATAATAATTTTCAATTATTTACAATTAGTCTTATACAGCGTTTAATTGCAATTAAATTCTAATTTTTGTAAATTCATATAAAATTTCCTTACTTGATAGTAAACAATGGTTGAATTATATTATTATGAAAACATGCTAATGAAATATTTTGAATGTAGCAGTGAATTTGGTGACATAAAACATCAACGAGTATAAATGACCATATATTTGCAAAATATTTTGTAAATACCTTTAAAGTTATTATCCGCTTTAATATAATTATAAAATCAAAAATTTTGTCAATTACCACCACTTATTAGCTTACTATCATCCATCAAAGCAAATGTAGGATGACGCTAAAAGTCACATTCAATTCATTGTTTAAATTTCTTAAAATATACTAAAATAAGATATTAGAATATTAAAAATAATAAATTTATTTATTAGTAATAACGTTTATTCGGCATAATTATTATTGAAATCTTTTTTTTCTGTATAATTACATATTTAATTCATAAAATTGAAATTCTAACATAAATTGAATTGTTGAACGATTGAAAGTAAATAACTTCATGAAATGCAAACAAATCCATCAGAAATAAAACTTTTGAATCATTTATTTCAGTTTTTTTTCTTTTTTCTTTTTACAATCAAATCAATATTAAGAATGCAAAAAATGAGCTTCTTTAAAAAGTCGTTTCGAATTACATTCAGGTAATAATATCCTTTCCACATCTTCCACAGTTATAAATCCATCATTGTCAGTATCCATCTTCTAAATTTAATCGTATAATAGAATTTTTTTCTTTTTTTCTTTTGGGTAAATATACAATAAGCAATAAATACAATATGAAAGTAATAAAAACGGAAAATAAATTGAAGAAATAAAATTTGTTCATTAATTAATTCATTCAATTTCAGCTATAATTTCAATATTTTGTCGTTCATAAATCATTTATTGTTATCATTACACTTTACAATCACTATTACTAACATTAATTACTTTTGTTATTGTCCGTTAACATTATTATCATCATTATTGTTTTTATTATTATTATTATTATCACTGCAGGTATCATTAAACAAGGATAGTGTTGTTATCGAAAAAAAAAAGAAGCTAACATTAGGATATTGCATAAACATACCTTGAAACATTGCATAATATAATATTTGAAATTTGGTGATAATTGGAGTGAGATCGATGGATTACTATCATTGCGATCATTATGATCATTATAAATATGCATTTGATTAAATAACTGATCCAAATTATATACCATAAATGGGACATTTAAACTGTACACAGCTTCAGCATAATCTTTAAAGGCATTCAAATTTATTTGTTCCTAAAAAAAAAATAAATAAATACATAAATACATAATAAATAGAAATGAAAATGAAATACTTCGCTTAGATAAACAGTAATTGATTATTGTTACTTGTACCTGTACATGTACAGGTATATGTATATACACCTGTACTTAATGAATGATATTTTCAATTAAGCCACATTTATTTCATGCTTTTTTTTTTGACATGGTCGACTAATTGA